TCACGCCCCAGAGGAAGGACTAGGTGCCAAGCACCACAGCGTCCACCAGGTGGTGCAAAGAACCCCAACAGCTGGTGACCATGCTGTTTTGCGGCACTATGGCCCAAGTCACACATGGCCCATGGCTAGAATTCAGGAAGCCAGAGGTGAAGGATACTAGCCTGACCTCCCCAGAGTCAGCACATTCCCCACCTGCTCTGCCCAGGGACGGGAAGTGGAAATCTCCAGTAGGAGCACCAGGGGGCCAAGTCCCTCCCCCAAACCGCGCCCTGCAGCCGTGTGTCTGAGATCGGAGGTACCAGAGCAGGGTGAGCCCAGTGACTGGGCTTGGCTCTGGCTGTCCGATCTCCACTGGCCGACAGCCCGCTTGTACCCGCGTCACACCCCTGACCCGGTGGGCTTGGGCCACGTGTCCCTTGGCAGCATCACACCCGTTTGCAAGAGGGATCGTGCGTCGCACCAGCCGGACGTGGCTTTGCAGGGAGCTCTGGGGGGCATGCAGCATGTCGTGTGCAAACTGCCGCAGTGGGAGCGCGACGCAGCCTCCGGCGCAGGCGCACGGGGCCCTCACCTGAATGGGGCCATCAGGATTTCTTCTTTTTCAGCTTCAGCACTTGCAGCCAGTGGGGCGAGGTGGCATCTGACCTGGGGGGCGAGGAAGCAGCGGCAATGGCAGAGCTGACAGGAAAAGGATGGAACTTCCTCACCCCCCAGGGTCTACACCCCCCACCCCGACACCATCACATCTACACCCCCCTAACCCCACAGGGTCTATGCACCCCCTAACACCTGCATTAACACCCCTAGGTGCATAGACACTCGCTGAAACCCACAAACCCAACCTCCCACCAGAGACACCCCCACACACTCACCCTGAGGATTTCTCTGGCTTGGGGGGCAGCGCCAGGGGTTTCCCCCCCAAGCCGGGGATCTTGCAGGACTTGGAGCGCTGGACGTGGGACTCCTTGGGCGTGGCTGGCTTGGCCTCCCCCAGCTGGGCCCCCTCTTCCGCAGAGCGGTTCCGGCCCCGCAGCTTGGCCTGGAGAGGGGGGAAAAGGGGGATCTCAGACAGACACACGGATGCCCTGGTTCTGTCTGTATGTCGCCCCCCAGAACGGCATGTCTCCCTCTGACCCTCCCCAATAGGGTTGCCAACTGTCTAATCACACAAACCCAAACACTCTTGCCCCACTCTCTGCCCTGCCCCTTCTCTGAGGCCCCGCCCCCAGACCACCCCTTCTCCGAGACCCTGCCCCACTCACTCCATCCCCCCCACCCCCCGCGTCACTGGTTCTCTCCCACACTCACTCACTTTCACTGGGCTGGGGCTGAGAGGTTCAGAGTGCGGGAGGAAGCCTGGGGCAGGGGTTGGGGTGCAGGAGGGGGTGCGGGCTGCAAGCTCTGGGAAGGAGTTTGGGTGCTGAAGGGGGCTCAGGACAGGGGCAGGGGGTTGGGGTGTGGGAAGCAGTGAGAGGTGCGGGATCCGGCTGGCTCCCTGCCTGCCCTGCCCCCGCACCACTCACGGAATTGGCCAGCACGTCCCTGCAGCCCCTGGGAGTGGGGCCAGGGGGGCTCCGTGTATTGCCCCTGCTTGCAGGTGCCGCCCCCGCAGCTCTCATTGGCAGCAGTTTATGGCCAATCGGAGCTGTGGAGTTGGCTCTCAGGGCGGGGACAGAGGCAGGGTCCCCTGCCTCCTCCCCAGGAGTCGCAGGGACATGCTAGCTGCTTCCGGGAGCAGTGCAGAGCCAGGGCAGGCACGGAGCCTGCCTTAGCCCCGTTGTGCCGCCAGACTTTTAGCGTCCTAAAATCTCCGGGCCTGGCTTCAGTAGCCTCCGGGAGACTCCTGGCAAAACCGGGAAAGTTGGCAACCCTATTCCCCAACACCCAAGGGGCTGTCATCCCTCACTGAGTCTCTGAGCCCTTCTACCTGATCTGGGAGCTCCCCCAGCACCATCTTCACCACACCCTGCACCCCCCAGGCCGCCCCACACTCCACATCCTGCACCTCACCACACAAGACTTCCAGCACCCACCTCACCCCCTCAGTGCCCACTTCTCCCAAGAACCCTCCCCCACGACCATTTCCAACACCCCCTTACCACTCCCTCCCCTATTCAGCCCTCCCAACATCCCATGGGCACTGGCTGCATCCCTGGTGGGCACCCCATGTCATTTCCTCCTCTCCCACCGCCCGATAGCCCTGGCAGGTGCTACCTTGAGAGCTGAGGGGTTCAGGCCCGGGAAGAGTGGCACCTTCACCCCCTTGGCCGCTGGCGAGGGCCGTGCCCGCCTGCTCTGGGGCTCCTCCGCCACCTCCTCGTCTGAAGATGCCCAGCGCACCGCTCTGGGCTCTGAGGAGAGACACAGGGTCAGTGTTAGGCCACGCAGGGCCCACACGTCAGCACCGCCACCACATGGGGACACACGCCAATGCCACCGACACAGCGGCACACGTGCATTGGTGCCTGTGCCATGTGGGCTCACACGCCAACACACGCTCCACCTGGGAGTGGGGCACCAACACCCCCACATACACTCACCACCACCAACCATGTGCCATTGGCACAACAGCACCGTGCCACCCAGAAACACACGCCACCGTCACGCTACATGGCAACACCCACCATGGCCACACCAACACCCCCTCCGACATGGGAACACACGCTAACGGCACACCAAGAGCATGCGAGACAAATGCCACGCTGACATCACAGCACGTCACCGAACAGGAAGCCAGGTCAGCACCAGGCCGGCCAGCAAGCCACAGCCTGCCCCGCCCCAGGTCCCACCTGTGGAGTCCCGGAACATCCAGTCGGCCGCCTCCACCTCAGACAGCCCCAGGCTGCCTGCGGGGCGTGTGGCCGGCGCCCGGTGACCTCGCTTGCGGCCCAGGTTGGCTCTGCTCCGGTAGATGGCACTGTCAAGAACTTCCATGTCCTGTACATGCCCCGGGGAGGGAGGGAGGCGGAGATACCGATCAGTGCCCAGACGCGAGGGGAGGGCCCATGGGGGCATGATGCTGCCCCACCCACCCCACAGCTGCTACAGCCACCGATCCAGAATCGCCGCGGACCTGTGCCGAGCCATGAGGGGAAAGCTCACGAGGGCGCCAGGCTGCCCCATCTGTCTCAGGGCTCCAGCAGGGACAATCCAAGCCAACCCCTCAGAGAGGCCCAATACCTGAGGCAACCCACAGGGAAGTGGACAGGGATGGGCGTGCTCCCTCGGGGGCCCTGGGACACAATCAAGAACCTATGTGACTCACCAAGGCCAACAAAGGGTTAACCATCCAGCCCCCGCCATCTCCAGTCAGTATCCCCCGCAGCACGGGGGTGGGGGAGTCTCAACCCAGACATGCGGTCCCCTTGCTGGAGGGTCGCCAAGGAGGGCATAGGGAAAGCTCCCCCCTGACGGCAGCCCGCCCTACCCCCATGCCAGCCACCACCTGGCGTCCCCATCAGGCAGGGAAAAGGAAGGGGTTGAGGTCACTGCCCCCCTACAGCCCTGGCTCCCAGTGTGGGCATGGGGGTGGGGAGGACCATGTACCCAACCAAAACCAGCACCAGGCCCAGGAGGGAGCAGAGGCTGCTGGGAAAGCCCCCAGGCTCACCTCCAGGAAGGTGAAGTCCTCGTCTGGTGGGGAGGGCTGGCTCCCGCGGCGCCCTGGCTGGCTCAGCCTCCTCACTTCTATCGGCAGCCAGCCCCCATCCGTGGCATCTGAGGGGCTGGGCGCGCCATCCCCCTCGGGCCTGGGCCCGCCATCCTCCTCCAGTGGCAAGGGGCGGGGGTGGCCGTTGGGTCCAGGGGGTGGCCCCCTCTCCTCTCCGGGGCTCTTGTGCTGGGCTGCCGCCTTGGCCAACATCTCTTCCAGCAGGGGGCTCGGGCCGGAGAGCCGGGGGCTGCCAGGGCCACTGCTGGGGGAGAGAACAGTGAGACCGTGCCCTCCCTGGTCCATGGAGCCGCCCCTCACACCCCACTCCTCTGCTCCCAGCCCCCTCCCCGACACTCCCCCCATGCCCCCCCTCACTCCCCTCGCCAACCCCCT